CCGCGTCGCTGTGACGTAATCGGTCTACAAATGCGGCCTCAGGAGGATGCAGCCCATGAATTTGGACACCCCCAAAGTTTGGAGGTCAGCAGTGACTGACTCTGCAGAAAGTTGGCGACCTCTGTGTGCTGTCGTCTCCGATTGCTTCCACTTTGTGATAATACCACTAAGAGCTGACTGTGGAATATTTAGTAGCGAGAAAATGTTATTACTGGACCCCTGAGAGCGACCCATTCTTTCACAAATGTTTGTAACAGCAGCCTATGTGCCTAGGAGACTACAATAATTTTGGCAATATATAAAAAACATAAAAACATATAGTGAGAATGTGTGTTTGAATGCAGCACACCTGCTTTTTGTAAGAGAGTGGTAAGGGCCTTATAGAAGAAACTGTTCATGGTCTATTAGTCTGAGTTCTCAGTGCCTGAGCCAGTGACATGAGGACAGATGTTACAGGTCTCTGGTGGCCAGATTGGCTGCCGTCTCAGGCAATGTTTTGGCCTCTGGTGAGGCAACAATATCTAGGAGAGAGAAGGATGACAGCCAGTAATTTTGTGGCCTGTGCTAATGACCATTTGTAGCCTCTTTACACTTTTTGTCAGCTGCTGGGCAACCAGCTTCCCACACTGTGAGTCAGTATGTTAAAATACTCCCTCGTGGAGCGGTAACAGGCCACCGGCAGCTGAGTTGTACTTGAATAGCATTTAAGTGTCCCAGATAAAGCCTAATAGTTTTGTATAGTCACACACACAGTTGAAGCTACAGTGCTTCAATAAACCAACCATTTCTTTAAATGTGAACCTTTGAGTTTGCAAAGTGACTCCAGTCCTCAGTGAAATGTAGCGATAACTACATTAATACACTTTGGTAGAGTACCTCAAACTCGTTCGCACAGCAAGTAGAATACATTTGTAAAAGTCGGTGAACCTTTCACAGTAAAGGTTTTCAGATAAAACTGAGTTGCTCCGTTGTCATGGTTATTTTAGTACATTTTGAAACCCTTGATTCACCAAGTGAGAAGACAAAAACAGGAAATTACATTTATAGCTTAAAAGCTAAGGCGTTGACTAGTGCACTGCAACTAGTCACCAGTGATGTGGCTGATCAACAGCTGTTGATCAGCCACATCACTGGTGACCAGAAGCAGAAGGGTCAAGAGGTCAGTGTGAACTGAAAGCAGAGATGATGGTGAAGATGAAACTGAATGCGAAAATGTAAAAACTTCATGCTTGACTCGCTGTTTCTGTTCCTTTTTTTTTTTTTTTTAGTTTCCAGAAAACCTCTACCCCCGATTCCTGGAGAGAAGTGTAAAACAGAGAGGGTAACCACACACACACACACACACGTACACACACACGTACACACACACACACGTACACACACGACTACCAATATATCAGTATAAGCCAGGAGCTGCAAGCCTGTAGTCACTCCTACTCCTCCTCAGCGTCGGAATCCTCCTCCTGCCCCCCCGACCCCCGAAGATGATGAGGAAGACGATGAGGAGGCTGAGGAAGAGGAGGTGGTCGTGGCTATGTACGACTTCCCCGGCATGGAGCCTCATGATCTGAGTCTGGTGAAAGGGGAAGAGTATGTCATCGTGGATAAGTGTGATGTCAACTGGTACAGGGCACGCAACAAGTATAAGTGAGTTCAAGCTGTATTTCTGTGTTTCACCACCTAGTTTCTCGTGTCTTTGTGTGTTGTGGTGATGTGGTAGTTTGTTTGTGTTTTTTCACAGTGAGGAAGGATACATTCCAAGTAACTATGTAACTGAGAAAAAATCCGGAAACTTGGTCCAATATGTGTGAGTGTGTTAATCATTTCCCAGTTACAGTTTGAGTTTAATGGCTGGCTGAATCCTAATGTCTGGACCTTGTTAATACGGGGTTTTTGAAATCTGGCATTTACTGAGTCTACACAAGCACACTTTCTATGGACGGAAAGCATGGCCAACCACCAAGCAGTTAAACACATGTTGGGAAAAGTAGTCTTGGGCAACGCCACATTTGAATTGAGTTTGATATGTGGTTATTTGCTTAAGTTAACTGTGTTTACTTAATTACATCTTACAGGTTGTACAGGTTTCCAAAGTTAAAGTGTAGATTTCTGATCAAAGCTGTGATAGTTATATATTTAATAGTTAGACCTTTATGATAAAACCAGCATCTGTATGAGTAGAGGTCACACACTTGCATTGTGTTGTATTACTGTCCTATAGACAACTTCTTAAATCTTACAATTTGATCTACAAAATTAACCCTTTAAAGCCAGTTTTGCGTAACAATTTTTAAATCCCTGTAGAACTGCAACCACGTAAGCTAGCGCAATAATTTTTTGGAATATGAAACTGGAGGAGTTGTACTTACATCTTATGCCATCAGCTTGCCCTACGTCACAGTTTCCTTCCACATATAGCTTTGCAAAAATTGCATAAAAAGCACTTGCAGCAACAAAAACATAATATTCCAGAAACATGCTTTGCTGATCCGATCAGCTGTTCGTAAAACTTCCTACATTGGAATAGACGTAAGCGCCAATGTCCGCCATTACCTGCCCATTTTTGCGGAAAATGTATTTTTTTTTTTTTTACCTTCAGGGCCTTATGAGCCTACACTGGTGTTTTTCAAAGTCATGTTTGACTTTATGCTTTTCTGTGTCGTTTCTGGGATGCTTAGGACTCATATTGCACTGCTGGAAATAGTTTATTTTGATGCACATGCTGTTTTTTTGCAAATTTGCAGTATAATATTTATTTTCGTTTTTCCTGCAGTATAAAGAAATTGGTGTATCTCAAAAATTCCTGTTGTTTGAAACTATTTTGTGCCACCTTTTTGAATTTACAGTTTTGAGGGATAAACCTCTTAAATTTCTCTAACTAGAAATATGTGTAAAAAAAAAAAGTAGTTTATTGCAATTTTTTTGCAATTTATGTAATTACTATGCACTTAATGCATACACATTATTAAAATTTGGGCTACAATGTTTGTATTGATGTATAGCAACTTGAAATGCTCCCATAAATGGCACTACAGCATGTAAAAATATAATATAAGCTCTGGCGGACTTGGTTCTATGGTAGGTCTTAAAGGGTTAATTAAAATTAAACGAATCTTGAACATTTATTAACGAAAAATGCTTAAAAACACTATAAATGAAGTGAAACTAAACCAAAAACTCCCATGGTTGACTTTCAGCTTTCCTGAGACACCATCACAATGTCATTGGTGAAATAGCAAATCCAGGTTTTGCCACTGTAAGTTGATCAAAAAACTGTAGAAGAGAAATTTCGATCATTTGGAGGCTGACGTTGTACTCTTGAAGTAAATGTATTTACAGTTGAATCGTAAAGTTCACTGTGAGTCATGTTATCGTCCAGTAAACGCTTATTTCACTCTTGATGTTTGGATTCAGCCAGCTGATAGTGCTTCACAAAGCAGGCAGAGCACTAGAGTCTCATGTTGTGTTTTCTTTGTTTGTTCCAGCTGGTACAATAAAAATGTCAACAGGAATAAAGCTGAGGAGCTGCTGAGGAAGGAGGTTAGGCTCTCTTTCCTTTCTTTGGTTCTTTGTCTTTATTCCCTCCCTGTTTATACGTACTTCTGTGATTTAGAGACAGTGATATTAGTGATAGCATTTTGCTGAACAAAATCTGTTCTTAAGAAAACACAAATTTAGATATTATCAGCCCTTCCAGTTTTCTGGATTCTTTGACTAAGGTGACTGAGATAACATAAATTACTGTTGTGTGGATTAGAAAAGTCTTGAATTTTAAACTTGTGGAATCCGTCAACCTCTTAATAGCCACCAGGCAAACTGTTTAATGTTTAAATGGGTTTTACTTGGCTATATGGTGTCCACAAACTAGAAAATGTTCGATTTCAGTCTAGTCTCATGCATTTTGGCCTTTCAGTTTTTCTTTTCAAAGTATTTACATTTAAGAGTTCCACACAGGTTAGCAATCTATTGTAAAAGAGGTGGACGTTAATCAAATATAAGGCCTAATCACAGATGGTTTGTCAGTGACATGTTCTGGTAACTGTTTTACAGGTGAAACGACAATGTTTAGTCTGCAAAGTTTCAGGCATTTTTGCTCTTTGCTTTCTATGATGTCAGAAAGAAGGGATATCTCTAATATGGTAATTACAGGCACACGTTCACAGCTGAGCAGCTGGTGTGTTTAATGAACGGACCCAAAAACAGACACGGGAGAACTGAACTGAAGTTAAACAAAAAGCGAGCCTTTATTGGGGTTGATACACAATAAACAGAAAAACAAGCCGAGATTAAACTTGGGCGAAACTAAACTAAACCTAAACTGGGAAAACTGGGGTATGGGGTGATCGTGGCTCAAGAGTTGGAAGTTTGTCTTGTAATCGGAAGGTTGTCGGTTCGAGCCCCGGCTTGGACAGTCTTGGTCGTTGTGTCCTTGGGCAAGACACTTCACCCGTTGCCTACTGGTGGTGGTCAGAGGGCCCAGTGGCGCCAGTGTCCGGCAGCCTCGCCTCTGTCAGTGCGCCCCAGGGTGGCTGTGGCTACAACGTAGCTTGCCATCACCAGTGTGTGAATGGGTGGATGACTGGTTGTGTAAAGCGCTTTGGGGTCCTTAGGGACTTGTAAAGCGCTATATAAATACAGGCCATTTACCAAAACTAAATAAGTCTGACAAACTGTGAAGAGGCTGAGGAACTATGAATCAACTATGACTAGAGGTATATGAACACACCATCAAACAGAGGCAACAATGTAACATAGCTAACATTAACAGTGCAGTGAATCCTGCTTGTGCCGTGATATTCAGGACTGCAAACCGAGCAGCATCACTGACTTTCAGCTTGTTGTGTTTGTGGATATATGACTGACTTTAATTATCCACAAAATCATCACATTCTCTGTAAGATTAAAGTCAGTTATTGAACGGCGAATATTTAAACGTAAAGGCTTTAAAACCAAGTTAACGCTGCAAGTACAAACGTCACTACTGTCACATAACTTTGCCGACATGTGGCCAACAGTAATGTTTTAATGTTCTTCTTTATTAAACATTCACACATAAATAAGTGACATCATATTCAGTACTTACTATTAAAAGTTTACTCTTCGGCCGCCCCGTTTCAGCCATCCGCCGTTTTTTTTCCAAAGAAAATATCCACATCCACCGCCGCGCTATGACTTGTGGGATATATGGGACCACGAAGTCTACACCGGACTCACCCTTCAAATTGGAGTACACTTGAAATTGGGACAGCCGTCATCGTGTCGCTGTGGCGTAATCGGTCTCCGAATGCGCACTACGAAGCGTGCAGTCGCTGGATTGGGACACAGCCAGAGACACCACAGGGGAAGTAAAACAAAACGCACAGAACGTGGAGACACTTGACTCTTCAAAAGGGGAAATAGAGATGTAGACATGACAACACAGGCTTGACAACATGAAACATGCAGACAAGAAATACATAAAACTTACTGTGAACAGCTGAACAGAAACCCACCTGCTCAGCTCTTCTATATACAAATCAGTAGAAGGTTAGCTTACACGGGGCTGAGCTAAAATGAATTATATCAAGCTAAGGTTGAATGGAGTGTTTTCTTTAATCTTTTAACAAGCACTACGGCTGTATCCCAATTCAGGGTCTGCAGCCTTAAAGGCCGCATTTTAAGGCCGATTACGTCACCGCGACGTGACGAAGGCTGTCCCAATTCGAAGGCTGCTCGAAATGCGGCCTTCATTTCCCTGAATTTTAAGGATGTGGCGGTGTAGACTTCATGGCCCAACATATCCCAGAATGCATAGCGCGGCGGTGGGTGTGGATAATTTTGCCGAAAAAAACGGCGGATGAGGGTCGCCCGAAGAGTAAACTTTAAGTAAGTACTGAATATGATGTCACTTATTTATGTGCAAATATTTAATAACGAAGAACATTAAAACATTCCTGTTGGCCACATGTCGGCAAAGTTATGTGACATTAGTGACGTTTGTACTAACTTGGTTTTAAAGCCTTTACTTTAAAATATACGCTGTTCATTAGCTGACCTTAATCAGAGAATGATCAAAGCTCATGTAGAAACAAACAAACAAATGAACAAAAGATTTTCTCCTTCATTTCTGTCAAACAAAGCTTTATGAAACGTTTCCAGCTGTTAGTATCATGGTTGCTAGGCAACCTGGGCAGCGCAACGGAGGCTAGACCGTCCCATTTCACAAGCCTCGCACTTCCGGCCTTAGCGGTCTTTAAGTACGCGGCCCTTGAGGATCGTTGAGGCTGCGTACTTTAAGGTTGCAGACCCTGAATTGGGATACAGCCTATGTAGCCGAGCCATCTGGGGTTGGAGTTAGTTTTTGCCTGTTTGGAAGGCTCGAATGGAAAATCCTGAAAGAGGAAAAGTGCAAGGTCAAAACGTTATTTTGTGGCTGAAACAACCCTAGCCCAAAATCTAGTCTGTCGGTGGCCTGGTGTATGTTGAGAGGTTAAACAAAAATATTCTATGATTATTTTAATATCAATAACTAGCATAATCAAATCTTATTTAGTTTTTAGTCTTTGTCTCTGTGCCATGCCCTCCAGGATAAAGAAGGAGCCTTCATTATTAGAAACTCCAGCACCCCAGGAACCTACACTGTTTCGCTCTACACAAAGTCTTCAGGGTAATTCTGCACATGTGTGGTAGTTATAATTTTTATGTAATAAAAGCTGGTGTAACTTGATTTACACTGTGGTTATGTTGTATTTGTAGGGATGGAGGTGCAGCTATTAAACATTACCACATCAAGGAGACACAAACCCTACCAAAACACTTCTACCTGGCTGAGAAACACCTCTTCAGCTCCATCCCGGACCTGATCGAATACCACAAACATAATGCAGCAGGTAACCAACACACAATTTGTGTAGACTATTAAACAGTGACTTAAGCTAAATGCATTATGGTGCTTTTCTGACCTTCTGAGGCCTAAAACATCAATGGTGACAGTGACGTGCCCCAGACACACCCCCTAACACTAACCCTGTGTTACAAAGATGGGACGAAGTACTGTTCTGGTAAAAATATAAATGATATTTTATGCATATCAGCTGATTATTTATTTTGATCCCTGCTTTTCAAAACTCAGGAGACTTACTTTGGTCGCCCTGTCCGCATTGGGCGGCAAATCCCCGCCAGCGTACTCGATCAGCTGCGGCTGGCCTCATCCCATGCGATGTCTAAGGCACGTAAATCATCAATGAAAGTCCTCCGCCTTTTTGTATGGGCGTGGCCTGGTTTGCGTCTTCCATGGGGTGGCTTCCACGTGATGGCAGTCTGTGCGGGAATTGGCATAGAATGTGACCTCCAAAGTCACAATGCCATGGAGGGGATGTGTTGCAGTCCGATGGTTGCTATCCGACACACAACATCATTCATGGTCAGCATCTCTGTTGCTTGCAAAGATGTTGCCCAGGTAGGTGAATTGATTCACCTCCTCCAGCGGTTGCAGTGCTACCATAATGGGGTCCTGTGTTGTCTTGTAACCAATCCTCATGGCCTTGGTCTTGTTCCCACTGATCCACAAGCCCACGTTGGCTCTTGCTCCAAGTTTGATGTCATGGTTTTCATGTTCTTCTGGACGTCAGCCAACACAGCGATGTCATCCATGAAGCCGAGGTCCTTCAGACGTGTTGGTGGATGCCAAGGTATCCCAAAGCCATCCATGGCCATGGCAGTCCGCAAAACAAAGTTGATGGTGAGAAGGAAGAGTAGGGGAGAGAGAAGGCACTGGTTCAGGGTCTCTTTGAAGTGTTTCAGAGGGCGTCTTCTTCCTGTTTGGTCAGCAGCAGCTTGACATTTCTTTCTTTGACAGGTACTCGCTGCCCACTCTTTGCACCAGTGAGTTCACGGACAATGTGATGGAGGGTCTTCGTGTCAAACTCAGGAGAACAAACCTCAGCAGGGAAAACATTGTTGGAGTTTTCTCTGTTGTAATCGCTGTAAATCAGCTGATTATACTTTGCACTTTTTCAGTGCAACATCTGCTGATGGCTTAGATGAGCCTTGTCCAAATGGCTATTTTCATATAGTCAATGCTTTTCAAGCTAATTTAGTGAACTTAAATTAAGTGAACTTATAGTTGCTGCAAGACACTTTGCAATCAGTTATGGGAATAAGGGCGTTAAAAGTAATGGTGTTATACGGTTAAAGTTGCCTTCAATTTACCGGGAGCTGGGGTGGGGGGCTGGGCGAAACAAACAAATGAGTGCTGCTGATTGGTTGAGAAAGAAAGGTAGTCATGTTAAACATGACCAATTTAAGATATCAAAGCAACAAGATGCTATGTCAGCCCAAGACAACCCTGAGTGTCCATTTTTGTGTTAAAAGTGGGGATTTCAAATTATATACCAGTTTTTAATTGTGCTGATAGGCCACAGAAAACCAGAGTCATGATAAAAAATATATGCAATGCTTTTCCTGAATACTATCGTTATGTTTACTGCAGGAAGAAACTCTAAAACTTTCTAAGGAGTGACAGCAACGAGAGTGAGAGAAAGGGAGAGAGAGAGTTTTGAGACGTGAGAGATATGTGACTTTTAGCGTGTTTGGAGTCTAAAGTTAGCTTGTTGCGTTGTGTTGTGTGTCAGAACAATAGTGCGACTGCTGAATATCACAGTTGCTGCCAAAAAGCCACCAAAGACAGATTGCAGTGTAAATGCTGTCTCCAGGTGGAAAACAGGAGGAGTGATACACCTCCTGCTGTCAGGCCTTCGGGTATCAGGCTTGTGATGTTCTCCTTCATCTTACAGTGGACAGAAATGATGTTTTGGACTGGCACAAATAATTTGAGTGCCATCTTATTTGATGCAGAACACCTGATTGTTTTGTAAATACTTTGTTATTTTAATTTAAAAAAGCCTTGGTTGCATTTTTCAGTAAATAGCTGCATATAACCTTTGTTTTTAAAATTTACAATTTATATTTGCATTTCAAGTTATGAAAATCATTCAGTAAACATGTTTGTGTTTTTTACAGTGTAAAATATCAATTTTTTCTACTCAGATTTTAAGCTTTTAGTCTGATTTCAGATCAATTGTGTTAATACAGTATGTCAAAATGAAAAAACAACTATAAATTCAGACATGAGGTTGTGCTGAAAAGAATGATACTAAAGAAGGAAAGGTAAATATTTTTTAAAGGTAAAATGTAGAAGTAAAACGTAGTCAAAAACGGCCAATTGTACCCTGGACCTGGTTAAACTTTTTTTTTAAGTATCACAATAGTTACTTTTCCTAGTAATCAGTTACTTTTATAAAATTGTGACTCAGTTACATTTTGAAGAAGTAACTATTAACTATAACTAATTACTTTTTCAAAGTAATTTGCCCAACACTTTGCAAGAAATACTATAATATGATATGATATATAAAGGTATTAATGTAGAAAGAAATTGTTTTCTGACAACATTAGATTTGGCTGGAACTGAGAATTATTCTTCCAACTTATTGAAAGTTGTGTCCATTCATCATCTTCCACTTATCCAGTCAAGGGTACTGTATCCCAACTGCAAATCTGTAACAGGGGTTAAATTGTGTACAATTTAAAAATAAGTTCTTTAGGTTCTTTGTGCTAACCATGTTCAGTTTTAAAGAAAATTAATATTACACAGTACTTAGACTTAGCCTTTAATTTGAGCAGTTTTACCTCACTACTGAAGGTAGTGTGTATAGTAGTAGGATATTGCAGGGTCTTCACCTTACAACATAAAGTGCCTTGAGGCAACTGCTGTTGTCGCCCCAAGGCAGGTCTGCCATCGCGCTTGCTTTTTCTAGTCACAGGTCAAAAGAAGTTCAGTTCATAGAGTGATGCAATCGTGCATCTGAAACGGTAGAAAGTTTCAGCTCGTTTGCACAGTTTTCTGAAAAGAACAATTTGTAAACTTATGAATTTGTGCTTATTTGTGTCGACTGCTGCCATCATGAGAACAGTTTAACTCTGACAGCTGAGAATAAAGGCAAAGCTTTGAAGTATCATTTAAGCCTCACCTATACCGATCTAGATAATGACTCAAAAATGTTGAATGTGGATACATGTGACGGAAAGCTTCCTTTTCTGGGCTCCCCTCTTAGCCTATCATGAAGGGCTCTCTGGTAAAGTTTACATTTATATCTCTCTACATGTCTCTCTTAGGTCTTGTAGCCAGGTTGAGATATCCTGTTGGAAAACAAGACAAATCAGCTCCGTCCACTGCTGGCTTCAGCTATGGTGAGTCTTTACGATGAACTGTGTATCTTATAAACAAATAATACTCTTTATTTTTTACCCTTTCCATGTATCAAATGCTCTTTATTGAACTAACATTAAAAATTAACCATTGCTTGATTGATGCTAGCTTAACTTTTGACATTTTTTCCTTTCAGAAAAGTGGGAGATTGACCCCAATGAACTAACCTTCATGAAGGAGCTGGGCTGCGGTCAGTTTGGAGTAGTGAGGCTCGGCAAGTGGAGAGCTCAACACAAAGTGGCCATCAAGGCGTTAAAGGAGGGAGCCATGTATGAGGAAGACTTCATTGAGGAGGCCAAGGTTATGATGTAAGTAAGGAAAAGGCCAAAGTCATACTGGATGAGGAAATGGTGTGAGAAAGAGGGATTTTTGCAGGTCTATTCAAAAACAGCACAGATGAAGTCGTCCTTCACCTGTACTACCACCTGGTGGAGTTTAAAAAGCCCTACAGCAATATTTCACCTACACCTTATCTATGTGCCTCCATAGTTTATAGTGGTTTACAAATTCCCCTCATAAGTGAAAGATTCCAGCTTTGTCCTGGGAGACGACACATCCTTTCACTGTGTGAAAATCTGCCACATCAAACATGTGGAGCTACCTAGTGTGGTGACCGCTTGCGAAAAAGGGAGCAGCCAAAAGGAGCTTTCCTTATCTTTTCTCTGTCAAGTAGAAGGTTGTCTCAGAACAAGTAGAGAAATGATGAAGCAATCAAATATGACAAAGGAGGAACTGAAATCTGTAACCGACTCTTCACATTTGAGCCTCTTTGACCAATAAATATTTGAAACTGCTGCTTGGAAAATGTCATTTCCATTTTACAAAACCAATTCCCCTCTCCAGGAAACTGTCCCACCCCAAACTGGTACAGTTGTATGGGGTGTGCAGCCAGCAGCGGCCAATCTACATTGTCACGGAGTTCATGGAGCAGGGCTGCCTGTTGAACTACCTCAGGCAGCGGCGGGGCAGCTTTAACCAGGGGTGCTTGCTGAGTATCTGTTTGGATGTCTGCGAGGGCATGGCACACCTGGAAGCCAACGGCTTCATCCACAGAGACTTGGTAACTTCAAGCTTGGCTTGTCGTTGGGAAACTGTTAAATCCATCACTAAGTAAATTGAGCTGCTAAGTACTTTTAGTCATATGTTTTGATTCCATCCTCTTCTGTTGTTCTTCGTTTTCTAAAGGCAGCCAGAAACTGTCTGGTAAACGACTCTCTAGTGGTGAAAGTGTCTGACTTTGGCATGACCAGGTATAAGTTTCCCTCCAGTTATAAATGACTCGCATCAAGTCAGCAGATAAATAAATAAGAATAAAAGCGTCTGATATCACTAAATGGTTTAAATGCAGATACGTGTTAGATGATCAGTACACCAGCTCGTCGGGCGCCAAGTTTCCTGTGAAGTGGTCACCTCCTGAAGTCTTTAACTTTTGCAGATACAGCAGCAAGTCGGACGTCTGGTCATACGGTGAGCTGGAACTTTTTTCCACTTAGTTTAACAGACAGAAATTGTCTCAGCGCTCATAAAAAAAATCGCCTCTCTGTGTTTGGGTCTCCAGGTGTGTTGATGTGGGAGGTCTTCACAGAGGGTCGGATGCCATTTGAGCAAAGCCACAACCATGAGGTGGTGACATTAGTTACACAGGGTCATCGCCTGTACAGGCCCAAAATGGCCAAGCCTGCCATCTATGACACCATGCAGATGTGTTGGTATGAGGTGAGTAAAAAATGGGAAGTAAATTTTTCATATGAGTCTTTTTTTTTTTTTTTTTTTTAGTAAATATTTTAGGTTTCAGTTTGTTGTCTTTTATTTTTTATAATTTTTTTTTATTTTTTTTAATTTATTTTTTAGCTTTTATTTTTACATTGATAGTATTTTATACTATTTTTATACTATTTTATTTTATTAGTATTCAAATTAATATGGTCTAGTACACCGTATGCCCCCCTTTAGACTCACCGCTGTTCACTTCCATGTAAAATAGGACGGTTGTCATCAGCCTTAAGCAAGCTGTATTATTTAAACATGATATCAGACCATGTTAAAAGTTCTTCTGCATATTTTTATACAACATCTGAAAGCTTACTGCAGATTTTTCTCTGCGTAAAACAAACGGCGGTGGATGGAGTAACGGCTCCGCCTTTTTGCACTTCCGGTGTGTAAGCGGACTCCGGCTCCACGTTAAACTGTGGCAGCGTCATCGTCGCTGCTGTTGTGTTATGAGTGTTAATGTTTAAAGCTGGAGGCTGTGTGGGCTTAATGTTGTCAAACTTTTTATTCACACGTTGCTTTGAAATACGTTTGTATTGCAGGTCTGTTTTTAGTCACGAATGTGGGTGAAACACTCACGTTTCCATGGTGACAATGGCATGCTACGAAGCATCAAAACCAAGATTTAGTGCTTAGAATTGTTTATATTCATCTTACTCTGTGAATAGTTGCAGCTCTAGATTATAATAACACTTTACCTTGGAACACATTGCATGAAACACAAAAATCATAATGCGATAATTTGTTTTGTTTTGCTTTTTGACCTCTACTGACCTCTTTAGCTCAGCTAATTCTAACAGTGGTTTACTAATGGAGAAGTGAGAGCGCCTTGTTGCCTTGGGATTATGTGTCAATCATTGTTATTAAAATATACAACAACGCAAACATGAATGACTAGAACAAGAAAAACTCCCAATTTTTTTTTTATTTATTTATTTTTTTGGTACATGCACAAAAGCTGAACATTGACTCATTTAAAAATGCTTTTTCATATGGATAATTGGAAATGTCTCGTGATACGAGAACCCATCATCTTACATGATATAAACATGTAAAAGTCCTGTATTCAAATATCTTTTGTCTTTTCTCTCTCTCTGCAGAGGCCAGAGGACCGTCCCTCATTCGCCAATCTTTGCGTAATGATCTCCGAAGCTCTGGAGGACGACGAGGCGACTCCAAACTGACCAATCAGCTGCTCACACCCTCCATGGCTGCCATTCAGGAGCCACATCTAAAATGGCATGCAATGGTGCTTTATTGTGATTGGAATGGACCGATGAACTAAATGAGGAGGAAGGACCAATCGCACCAGTTCTAAACTCATTCTCCGCTCACTAAATCACATCAGCTCACAGCCATGAACACCTGCACCAGCATTACTAAAGACAAAAGTTCACATCACATGTTGGCGGTATTTCAAGATGACTCACAGGGATGAACTGACAGCAACAATGAAGACACATAACGACAGGCTCTGCATGTACGATGCATTATTTGCTGACATGTTTCCTCCCACTCAGACACGAACAGGAAGCCGTTTGGTCAGAGACCCGTCAGCAAGAAAAAGCCACAAAGTTTTTTTTTTTGGCAAGCTCAAGTTTCCATTAACTTTATACTCATTTGTGTTGCTCTGACATCCATCAGGTCTACAGCAACCCATCTAGTGTCAATGTTGGGTTTGTTCTGACCTATGCTAAATAAACAAACTTTTCAAATAGTGAATCTCATTATATTTGTTCTGGTAAAAGCTTTTCCGTTGTTTCCTAAATAAAATAGTGGATTCTAATGAAACTCTGACCCTAACAGTAGATGGGTCACCATTGAACTAACCTTTTAAAGTCAAAATATGGAACGTTTGCTTTATAAAAACTGCTCTCCCAAGTCTTTGAAATTCAAATCATAGGATTGTGTTTCGTGTTGGGGCTCAGGTTGGAGTCGTCACTGATGACCTAGACCTCACAAAGTTAAGGGAGTTACCCGTGTGTGCTCTTTATGTTGTGTACTTCCCCATCACGTCCCACACATAATATGTATAATGCAATGCATAACATTAGAGTACTGTAGAAAATAAATAAATAATTGTATTAATTTTACAACTAAAAAATATAAAAGTTATACCATGTCAACATGCTGCAAGGCCAGTTTTCATTCTGTGATAACAAACATTGTATTTAGACATTTAGACTTCGATACAAGTTTGACATCAACAGCTTCAGAATAATATTGATGACAAATTGCTGACAGTGCATACTCGTCTCATAATAAAACTGCTGAACTACTCCATATTATTCATATTTAAGTAACCGAGGAAGCGTTTCCAGTTTCCACAGCCATTTTCACGTGACAGGAGTTTCAGTGATAATCTTGAGAGTGGTAAGTTAAGTCTTCTTGCTGATTATTCAGTGTATTTGTCCTTTTTTAATATTGGGTGTGCATTACATTTAAAATGTAATCTTTAATCCTCTTGAATTTTCACAGCTTTTTACATTTATGTGGACAAAAAATGAAATCATTCACCAATGCTAGAGAATTATATTTCAAAGCATTTATAAACTTTTGTGACGGCATTTTAGCTCATTGTCATGG